TTGCAGCCCGGAGCAGACAGCAGGAGGTTGGCGAGGGCCCGGGATGCGCTACTAGGTGGCCAACCCCAAATCCGTGCCCTGCGTGCCAGCGGGGGCCGGGCTCCCCGAGCCGAGCGGAAGCTGGCCCAGGGCTGTCCCCGCTCACGCCCCCCCCCCCCCGTCCCACTGCAGCACCACGGTGGGGTGCTCGCAACTCGGGAGTCGCCCCAGCTGGCCAGGCTGCTCCCTGACGGCGGCCGAGCAGCAGCTGAAACATCAGCTGAAAGTGCAAACACAGACGTGTGCCCCGGAGCGGCGGCCGCCCCTCCCCCACCGCCTGGCTTCTGCTCCCCACCCTGCCCGGGGCAGGGCCGGGCCGGGCGGGCCGGGCCGGGCAGGGCGCGCAGGCTCCCGAGCAGGGAGGGTCCTGGGCCGGCCTGGGCCGAGGGCTCGCTCGCCACCGCCCGGCAGGGAGACCCCTGGGCCCGCCTCTGGCTCGCGAGCGGCCCTGCAACCTGAGAAGCGTCCTCCGGCCCGTCCGGGCTCCGATGGCGAGGTCAGCGGGCCGCCTGGGGCCTGGCTCCAGTCCTTTGTCACACCAGGGGAAACGCGGCCAGGGCCGGGCGCGGCGGCCCTCCCGGCTCCCGGCTCCCGGCTCCAGGCGGCGGGGCGGGGCGGGGCGGGGCGGGGCGGGCCGGCGGGGGCGGGGCGGGCCGGCGGGGGGCGCGGCTCACCTTGAAGTAGCCGCCCTCGTAGTAGGTGTTGGGGGGCCCGAAGATGGCCACCTCCCAGTTGTACAGGTCGCCCTCGTCCACCAGGGTCACCCGGAAGCCCTCCACCGGCTCCTCCTGCAGCCCCTTGAGCTCCAGCAGCAGCGCCTTCTGCGAGCTGGGCACCAGCGGCCGGGCCATGGCGGCGGCGGCGGGGCCCGGGGTCGGGGGCGCGCGGGGCCGCGGGGCCGCGGCGGGGGCGCGGGACGGGCCGGGCCGCGCGCCGGCCGGGGGGACGCCGGGGCCGCCGCCGCCGCCTTCCTCCTCCTCCTCCTCCTCGCCGCCGCCGCCGCCGCCGCCGCCGCCGCCGCCGCCCGGGACCCCGGGGCGCTCCACTCGCTCTGGCGCCGCCGCCCGCCCGGCGCTCGCCTCCGCCTGGCCCGCGCGCCCCGCCCCGCGCTGCGCGTGCGCGCCGCCTCCGGCCCCCCGACCGCGCCTGCGCGCCGCGGCGGGGCCCGCACTGAGCCTGCGCGCCCGCCCGCGGGGCACGCCGGGAAGTGGAGTCCCCGCCCCCGGCCCGCCGAGCGCGCAGGCGCGACCGCCGGGAGGGGACGGGGGGGAGGGGAGGCCAAGCGCGCAGGCGCCCGGGCGCTTCCGACCCCCGGGAGGCCGCCGCCGCCGCCGCCGCCCGCCGCTCGGACGAGCACCCCGGACGTCTGTGCGCGGGGAGGCGGGCAGGGCTGGGCTGCGTCGGCCCGGCACGCGCCGCGGGGCTTTTGGGGTCTTTTCTATGACGTCCCAGCGCGGGGCGGGGCCGGGGCGGGGTCGCCTGGCCCGGGCGGGGCGGAGCAGGTGGCTTCGCGGAAGGGGAGGAGCGGCGGGCGGGCGCGGGGGGCGGTGCCTCAGTTTCCCGTCCGGGGAGCGGAGCGCGGGGCCGAGCTGGGGGCGGGGTTAGTCCCCACCGCGCCGGGCGCACACCTGGACGCACACCTGGACGCACACCTGCGCGCACACCTGGCCCCGGCCTCCATCCTCCACGCCCTCAGGGACCCAGAGGGTGGGCGTGGCGCTGTGCCCGCAGCCTCGCCGGCAGGTGTCGGGGGCAGGCCCCAGACCAGCACCTGTGCTGCGAGCCCCTCCTCCAGGTGCCCCAACACCTGCCACCCCTCCCCCCACGCCCCCCGCCGTCGCCCAGGCGAGGACACACAGGGAGCCTTGTCTGGGGCAAGGGAAGCAGCATTTCGTCTAGAGGAGAGGGACAGAGGACGGGAGGAAGAGCCCCGGGCCCGGCAGCGGCTTCCGGCGGCTGCCCCAAGGCGGGGACCCCGACGTTCCCATCCGCAGAGTGGGCAGCCGCCGCCCTGCACCCCGGGCCGCCTGGCTCCGTGCCCCTGGCCAAGGGTTCCCTGGCCCTCGTTCTGTGCCCGCGGCGCCCATGTCAGCAGCGGCATGGAGCAGCTTGCCAGTAAATAGTAATTAGAAGTAATCACGATTCTTGCAAATCCAGATCCCAGGATCTCCCGATGGAAGCCCCGCTCCCCCACGAAGCATGGGTGGGGGGGCTGGTTCTGGAGATGTAAAGGGACGTACTGGTTTGGGGCCGCTCCAGCAGGTGCCACGAGGGGCGTCACACCCCCCCCCCAGGGACGCCGGCTCCCGGCTCTGAGGCCTCCAGGGTTTGTGCCCACCGCACCTCCGTCTCCTGTGGGGGCGTCCCACTCTTCGTCTGTGACGTTCGAATTGGACTGAGCCCCGAGCCCCGGCCGTAGGGACGGGTCACCCAGGCAGAGCCGCGGCCGTGTGGTCCAGGAACAGCACGTGGCTCAGCCATCTGACGAGGGAGCTCTGGGGCTTCTGAGAAGGCCGCCCCCCGTGGCTGAGCCGGGAGGACCTGGGCCTGGAGTCGGGGGGTGGGGCACCTCGTCAGCTCAAGCGCCACACATGGAGTTGGCACTCGGGGAGCCTGAGCCGATGGGCAAGGCAGTGCCGGTGACCCCGCGCGTGCCCCCGAGGCGGGCCGGCTGACCTTCCCTGCACACTCCACATGTGCAAGCTGATCAGTTCCTTTTTTTTTTTTTTTTTAGTATTTTATTTATTTATTCCTGAGAGACACCCCCAGAGAGAGAGGCAGAGCCACAGGCAGAGGGAGAAGCAGGCTCCCTGCGGGGAGCCCGACGCAGGACTCGATCCCGGGACTCCGGGGTCACGGCCTGGGCGGAAGGACCCCACAACTGTCAGAGGATTGGCGTGAATGGTTTAAGGCACTAAGCGTGTGGAGATTTGTCCCGACAGCCGTAGGAATTGAACACGCATCTATGAGCTTCGGATTGTTCCACTGCGAAGCTGACTGACTCGCGACCTACGTGCTGAGGATACGGCAGTGACCAGAGGTGCCCACGCCTCCCCCTTGGGGAAGTGGGACGTTGGTCACAAACCAGCCGGTGGACACCCAGCAGCAGGAGCTGCGACAGCACAAGGCGAGCGCTAGCGGTGGGGGCTTTACCCAGATGGTGTCCGGGGAGGGGAGCGAGGATCGGGCCTTGAGGTCCCCAGGAGCGTGTGAGGGATGGAGGGGGAGGTGCACAGAGGCCCTGACGTGGGGACGAGCTGCCGCAGGAGAACCCGACGTGCCTGGGGGCAGAGCGAGGCCGCGCGAGGGGCCGGGGGTCCCCGGGTCAGCCCAGCACGGGCTCTGGGCTCGGGGCCTGTGACAGAACCGCTGCAGGCCAGGTCCTCCCGGCTCAGCCACCTCAAAAAACGTCCCCGGGCTGCATCTCATCGGCCACCGCCGGGTCACCTGCAGCTATCACCCCGAGGACGGGGCGGTGAGATGAAGCTGTGGACAGCAGCCAGCGGGACGGGGGCATCCCCCCAACCCTCGGCCCTGGGAGGCCTGGGCGCTGCCGTGGGGCCTGGGATGTGCTTGGGGTGTCCCTGGAAGACGCGGTAGGCGGCTGGCCCTCCAGGGCAGGGCCGGGGACCCACGCCATGAATTTGAGAATCCCGGATGTCCGGGCAGTAATTGAAGCCGAGGAGGATGCACAGGGGCAGCCGGGAGGCCCCGGAGCCCAGGTGAGAGGAGGAGGCTTCAGGGTGGAGGTGGGGAGGGGGAGGTCCAGGCCAGGTAAGGAGGTCCCGTCCGCCCCAGGGACCGTCGGCTGGCAGAGGTCAAGCCGGGTCACGACACACGGGGATATCTGGACCCAGGCACGGTGGCGCCGCCACGATATCTGGACCCAGGCACGGTGGCGCCGCCACGAGGCCGCGGTCCTGGCTCCCGCCTGAGGCAGGGGGCTGCCCTGTGCCCCCCGGGGCCCCTCGTCCAGCACCTGGGGCACCGGGATCGGTGGGCCCAGCGTGCAGGTGGCGAGGTGGGTGGGGACCCGCGACAGCTGACCTTCCAGGGACCTAGCGCTGCACAATAAACGGGCCAACGACTTTGTGGCTGAAAACAAGGATCGTGTAGCTCGTGAACCTGGTCACCGGGTCACAACACGGCTGCGCAGTCCTGAACACCGGGGGCGGGGCAGGGGGCAGGTGCCACCTCTGTGACCCGGCTGTGGAAATGACGTCGCGTCACACAGCCACTGAAATTCACGCAGATGCCACCTATTGATCTGCCTTTGGTGGTGGGGCGGAAAGTTCTGGGCCAGCGTTTGGGAGCAGAAATGGTGCCGTGGGCGTTTTTGGAAAACGCACAGTCAGCAGCCACAAGTCACCGGTTCCCTGATGGGCTGCCCTGTGCCGGGAAGCGGGGACCTGGTGCTCCTGGCCCCCCGTGGCACGCGGGAGGGCTTCAACTCTGCCCACGGGGTCGCCCCGGCAGAGCAGGGCTGTCCTGGTCCCTGAGCCTGATGCGATCAGGGGCTGGGAGTCTGACCCCGGCCGCCCTCCCTGCCCGCGGTTCCCTGCACAGAAGCAGCCCCTGGGGTGGGGGGGACGCCCAGTGGGCAGTGGGCTCTGGACGGGCCGGCGCAGGTGGGGGTGGCGTGTGGGTTCTGAGCAGGCCCTGCACCTCGACTTCCCCATCTGCAAAGCCTGGGTAGCCAGTCGCTTCCTCAGAGGGCAGGTGGCCCCACAGGGCTCGCAGGCGCCTGCTGCTCCCCCGTCACCCCGTTGTCCTCCTCCTCCAACAGCTGGGAAGCTGAGGCCCGGGGCACTTCACCGGGCACCCGGGAGCCAACCGCTTCCACAAAGCCGAGTTCGGGGGCGCCCCGGCGTGTGCAAGCCGCGAGCCCAACCCCAGGCAGCACCGGGGCGAGCTGGACGGGCCGGGGTGGGGGTGAGGGGGGCACACACACTGCGCTTGACCTTGGCCTGGGAACAGATTTTATTACCAGCGGGAGGAGAGGCCTTTGTGGGGGTGGGGGTGCCCACTTCCTGGGACCCGAGGCCCCCCGACGGGGCTGGGGCGCGATGTCAGGGTTGAAGGGGGTGGGGGGCTCCCTGCCCGGCCCCTGCCCGCGGGCATACCCCAGTCCCAGACCCGCATCAGCGACCTGCGGCTGCGACCTCGCTGTGGGTGCGGGAGGGGGCGGCGAGGTGTGCGGGCTCAGGCCACGGGCTTGACCTTGGCGATGAAGAGGGCGGCGGCCTTCTCCAGGAACTCCTCCCGCGTCATCGGGGAGCTGGGCCGCCGGGCCACCAGGGCGCGGTCCATGGCCAGCGCCAGGCTGTCGGGGCCCAGGCGCGAGCCAGCCTCCAGGTAGCGGGCAGGCACCGGGGCCCCGTCGCTGGCCTGCAGGGCCCCCTCCAGCGTGTCCAGCACAGCCTGGCCCACCCGGCGGTCAGCCACAGCCAGGGCCGGGTCCTCCAGCAGCCGGTACAGGGCGCTGGCCCGCGCCACGAACTCCAGGAGCACGAAGCAGGTGAGCATGCCGGCGCGGAAGACGTCCAGCGGCACGGCCTCGTGGTCCCGGCACTGGATCTTGTGCAGCAGGGGGGCCACGACCTCCTCGGGAGCCTCCCCGTCCCGGCAGATGCGCTTGAGCAGCTCGCTGTAGGTGCGCCCGTCCAGCCCCGGCTTCTTCTTGCGCCCGCTGGCGCTCAGGCACTCATAGGCCACGCTGACGTTGTTGTTGAAGGCTGTCCTGCGGGAGGGCGGGAGCGTTGGGCCAGCGGCGGGGCCCGGCGGCCCCTGGCTCACTCGCCCGCCCGCCTGCCGCCCCGAGTCCTGTCCCCTTCTATCTCCCTCCGAGAACCGGGCGTGGTCAGGCCCCAGGGCCTTGGCACCGGCTGCGTCCTTTGCCCACAGCGCCCTCCCCCGGTCTCCCCGCGGCTCCTGCAGCTCCTCTGAGTCCTTGCTCAGGGGTCGCCCTGCGGGGCCCCCACCCCTGCCTGATGACACAGCTTCATTTGTTTCCGGACGTCAGCCCAGGAGCCCACATCAGGGTGTACGGGTCGGCCCCCGCGGCCCCCAGCGCCCAGAACGCCGCCTGGTACACGGCTGGTGCTCCGTGCGCACCGCCGAGGCCGCCCGCTGCTCCCCCTGGGCCCCCCCCGGCCCGCACCCCGCGGAAATCGGGCCCAACAGTTTTATCAGCAGCTGCCCGCGTCCACCCGCTGACCCGCCGCTGCTGCCGCCTTTCGGGCTGCGACAGGCTGAGCCACGACACCGGCAGTACGACCCGTTGTCTGCTGACCTGAGGCCCCTCGACCCGACCCACGCGGGCTGTGCTAGGAGCTTCGGGAGCTGCCTCGCGCCCTGCGGCCCAGCTGCCCCCCGCTCCCTGCACAGGCAGGTGGGGAGGCTCAGGGCGGCTCACCTGGGGTCCCAGCGCCAGGGGTCCCAGCAGAGGCACGGGCGCCCCCAGCTCAGCCCCGCGGGGAGGCATGTGTGGCTCGGTGCACCCCCTGCGTGACCCGCACAGCATCTGGGCTCCCCGTGGGGGGACCTGCTCACGTGGAGGTTGTGCGCCCCCAGGAGCCCTGAGGGTCAGAGCCCATTACAGGGGGAAACCGAGGCCCGGCAGTACCGGAGCTGCAGGGGGGCTCCTAGCTGGGGCTCTTCTCCATCCGCGTGGCCACAGACCCTTTCCCCCTCGCTCACTGGCCCTGACGCTGTACCGGGCGCCTGCGAAGCGCGAGGGTGGCACCCGACTGGTGTCCCAGTCCCACGGGCTCACCCTGCATCGCCCTGCATCACGGGGGTGGCCACCCCACCTCCTAGTGGTCCCGCGAGCCCCGAAGCCCCTGCGGCAGGAGCGGGAAGGACGATGACGCGGACACGGCGCTCCCCCTGCTGTCACCGACCAATGGCCGCTGACGACGCCGGCCCTGCAGCCGGAAATGGCAGCGGTCACAGATTCTAGCTTCGGGGCCGGGGACGGCCTGTGCCCTGGAGGCTCGCACACCTGGGCCTCCGTCCCGCCTGGCGTCCCAGGGTCACGGGCGTGCCCCCCACGGCGCTGCCCACCTGCCTGGTGTGGGGGCGACAGGTGAGCAGGAGGTGAGGGGGCACCCGCAGGTGGGGAAGAGCCTGTGACCCGCTCCGCCAAGACGCGGGGCTGGAGGCCTCCTGTGCGCCCTGCCGAGGCCAGCGTGGGAGCCCGAGCAGCGTGGTCCGCGCCCCGGTGCCAGGCCTGGTCAACCCGCGGCCTGTCAGGGCCGCTGAGGTCTCAGAGCTGTTTGTCGCTGCCCTGGTGCAGCTGTCCCGACGGGATGGTGGCCTGGGACCTGCCGCCTGCCCCCCCCAGCACCCGGGCTGCCTGCCACCGGCTCTCCTGAGCCAGTCCCGGGGGCACCCAGCGCCCCCCATGAGCACCTGGCCCACCCGGACCTGCACCTGGGTCCTGGTCGCCGTCCCCGGCTCTCGTCCTCATCCCTGCCTTGCAGGGTTCCCGTGAGGACAGGACGGAAGTTGTGCCCAGGACTTACGACGGTGCCCGGCCCGGGGGTGACCCCGTGACCAGGGCTGGAGGACCCCGCAGGCGTAGTCCCACCCCGGGTGGGCGCAGGATCCTGAGGGTGACACCAGCCTCCAGCCCCCGCCGCGCGGCTGCACCTCCCCGCGGCCACCAGGGGGCGCCCACTCTGCGGGACGCGGGCTCCGGGACCAGGCTTCCCGGAGAGGCAGGGCCGGTCGGAGCACCCACAGCACCCACAGGTCAGCCTTTGCTTAAACGACACGTGTGTGCGAGCACGTGTGGAACGTTCCACGGGGACACACGGAACCTCTTCGCTGTAGGCCGGGGGCTCCTGGGGGGTGACTGACCCAGGGCCGCCTGGGGACATCTGGGGCACGTCTGGTTGGCGTCACCGGGCGGATGGAGGCCGGGGGTGTGGGTCAGCACCCCGCAGCGTCCAGGACAGCCCGGCCCGGAGACCAAGCGAAGGCAGCTGGACGTGCTGGGGCCCGTCGCCAGGTTCCCAGGTCACGGGGCCCGCGGAGCAGCTCAGAGGTCCAGATCTGCCCCCACCCTGCCCTGCCTGGCACGCCGCCCGCAGCCAGTCACGTGAACACCGTTCTCATGCCCTTGGGGCCTGGAGGCTGGCAGGGGGTGGCCGAGGGGCCCCTGGAGGCCGGCGCTTCTGCTCTGGCGCCACACAGGAAGGGGGTTTGGGGAGTTCTCCCCAGGTCTCTCGTGCTGAGGGGCCCTCAAGGACGGCCCCGCTCACCATCGGGGGCAGCTGCCCAGCCTCAGGGGAAGGGGACGGGTCTGGCCTGGCTTCTGCCTTTGGCCCGTCGGGCTGGGCTCAGGGGCTCCCGACGGTGACCCGGTCTTCCGAGTTAGCCACTGGCTCTGTCTCCAGGGAGACCAGGTGAGCCTAGGGGCTCAGGCGCGTCTGCCTCCAGCGCTGGCCACTCCCCACGTCCACCCCCGCCCCCGCCTGCCGTGCCCCTGCAGCCCCGAGGTGCCCCCAGCGGCTCCAACACCCCTGCAGGGCAGTGCACAGAGGCCCCCACGATGCACGTCTATCTGGAACCTGCGAGGGCCACCGTATTGGAAACAGGGTCTTGGCAGATGCAGTCAGTTCGCGACCTGGACGTGAGATGCGGTGGCGCTCAATTCAATTGTGCTTAGGAGAGAAAGAGACCGGAGACTCAGAGGAGGACACCGATGGGCACTGGCGGGATGTGGCCACAAGCCAAGGATAACTGGGGCCCAGGAGCTGGAACAGGCAGGAGGACCCCCGCCCCCCCAGCCTCCGGGGGGAGCGCAGCCCTGACGCTGACCCTTGATCTCAGACTTCCGGCCTCCAGGACTGTGAGAGAATAAATTTATGTGGGTTTTTTTTTTGTTTTTAGATTTTATTAAGTCACCTCTACACCCAATGTGGGGCTTAAACGTACAACCCTGAGATCAAGAGTCACAGGATCTACCGACCGAGCCGGTCGGGCACCTCAAGTTTCTGTTGTTTTAAGCCACCAAGTTCGTGGTGGTTTGTTAGGGCAGCCACAGGACACGAATACAGCTCTCCTGGCCCTAAACCCAAGGTACTCCTCAGCCCTCGGACGTGGGCCACTGGACACGGGAGTGCCGCCAGCCCACCAGGTGCCTCTGCGGGACTTAGGGAAACCCTCAGGAAGCCTCCACAGGAGTACCCTCGTTGGGACTGGCTACAGGTGAGTGACTCGCGCAGTGCTTCACCTGCACGACGGTACGTGGCGGCCCTACCGCGGATGACTTTTCCCCTTTGTAAGATGTCCCGGGATGCCATTGTCTGCTGGTTCCCCCTTCCCATCCGGTTGGCCTGATCATGGTTTTCTGTGGGTTTTCCGAGGCTGGGACTCCTCAGGGTTGGGTCCTGGGCTCCTGTCCGTTCTCCTGAGGCTTCCACGACCTCTCCCAGCTGGACAACCTGCTGTCCATCCCCCAGCCGCCCGACGTGAGTCCCCGAGCAACCCTGAGAACGTCCCCCAACCAGTGGCCTCCCCTCTCTGTGGACGGCCCCGCGGACTACCTAGGAGTGCTCTGCACACCTCCTTCCCACCGTCGCCCCTGCAAGCCTCAGATGGCCTGCAGAGCGCGTGGGTGCTCTGCTCAGACTCCCACCCTCCGCCCCCCTTCCCACACGGGATCACTCCCCAGCGTCACTGGTCGTGCCTCTCACAGGTGGGCAGGCGCGGAAGCACGAGGGAACCCCCTGCCGGCCAGGTTTCCTCTCCCTTCCTGGGTGCTCCTGGGGGCGCACGTGGCTGCCTGCCTCGGGTTCTCCTTCTAGGGACCCCAGCCCCCAGCCAAGGCCCAGCCCACCCGCACTGTCACGACCTCACCTGGTGGATGCTGCAAGCCGAAAAGCTTCCCCTCAACCACCTGATGGGGGCCGACCGCTCAACACCTATTCCTCAAGCACGATCCGTGGGCTCAGAACTGCTGGGCGGGAGGGTGGCGGTGCCATCCCCTCCAGGGCACCATGGCAGCCTGGGGGCCCGCGCACCTGCCCGCTCCTCTCCCTGTGCCTGAAGCACGGCCCTGCCCACTGGGAGCTGCCTCCGGGGGCCTGGGGGTCCCGGCTGTTCAGTCTCCACTGCCCCGCCCTGGAAACATCCACTTCTGGCTTGATGGACGGGGACGCCATGACGCTAGTACGAAGGCATCTAGGAGAAACCCCGAGTGGGAGGCCTCGCTCCGAGGCTTTGGATCCTCTCTGGGCCGGTGGTTTCTAGGAGTGGTGGGGGCGGCAGGGGGAACTGCGCCTGCGGAAGGGCGTCTCGGAGACCAGCGGCCAGAGCTCCCGGCGCCGCCCCCACGCCCCCAGCCCCGCAGTCCGCGTCCAGCGCCCGCGGAGCCCAGCGCACCAGTGTCCGGCGAGCAGCTCGGGGGGGGGGGGGGGGGGGGGGGGGGGGTGGGGGCGGGGGCTCCGCGTCCGCAGCCCCAGGCCCCGCCCCGTGATCCGCCCCGGCCCCGCCCCAGCGCCCGGCCCCGCCCCTGCCCCGCTCCCAGCGCCCCCAGTCACAGCCCGGCCCCGCCTCCAGCGCTCCGGCCCCGCCCCCGCCCCGCACTCCAGTCCCCAGGGCCCCGGCCCCGCCCCCAGTCCCCGCCTCGCCTCCAGTCCCCAGCGCCCCGCCCAGGCCCCGCCCCAAACGCCCAGGCCCGCCCCCAGCGCTCCGGCCCCGGCCCCGCCCCGCACTCCAGTCCCCAGGGCCCCCGGCCCCGCCCCCAGTCCCCCGCCTCGCCCTCCAGTCCCCAGCGCCCCGCCCAGGCCCCGCCCCAAATGCCCAGGCCCCGCCCCCAGCGCTCCGCCCAGGCCCCGCCCCTAGCGCTCCGGCCCCGCCCCCGCCCCGCCCTCCAGTCCCCAGCGCCCCCAGCCCCGCCCTCTGCCGCGCCCCCAGCGCCCCCAGTCTCGGTCCGGCCCCGCCTCCAGCGCTCCGGCCCCGCCCTCCAGTCCTCAGGGCCCCCGGCCCAGTCCCCAGCGCTCCGCCCCGGCCCCGCCCCCAGCGGCCCCGGCCCGGCCCCGCCCGCCCCGCACCTCTGGGAGTGGTGAGCCAGGCGGAGGTGCCACAGCGCGCGGCCCAGGCGCTGCTGCTGCAGCAGGAGCTGACCCGGGGGCTCCCCGGCGCCGCCGTTTGCAGGCGAGCGCAGGCCCATGTTCTCGAAGTAGTGCGCCAGGAAGGCGATCGGCTCCTCGGGCCGCGCCTCCAGCACCTTCAGCAGGGCCGCGCGCAGCATCTCCGTCACGCCGACCTGCCGCAGGAAGTCCTCCTCGCTGTCGGACGGTGCTGCTGTTCGGGACACCGCCGGCCGGCCGCTGTCCGTGAAACTGGCCGCCGGAGCCACCGCCGGCCGCCGCTTCTCCACCGCCGCCATCTTCGCTGAGGGCAGCGGGACCGGAAGTGCCGTTGAGGCTTACAGTGCGTGGCGCCTCGCGGCGGCCATCTTGGTTGAGGGCAGAGGGCCCCCGGATCGGGCTGGAAGACTGGCAAAAATAACTAGACCGTGCCACTTGCCACCGCCCGCCCCCTACGCCCCCAAGTTCTGATCGCCCGTCTGCTTCCGGGGTCCTCCGCGTGTGCTGGTTAGCCTGCCAGGCCTGGGCCCGGAACCGGAATTTTGCCAGACTCCAAAATGGCTCTCTAGGAAGGGCACGGTTTCTGGCCTGAAGCCGGGTTGCTCGCCATCTTGGTAGCGGGCGAGTCCTTCATTAGCATGGTCCCCTAGCAACCGGTCTCCTTGGTTGTCAGGGACGCCCCGCGGATAGTGCCAGCGGCGCACTGAGCGTCGGCCCAGCGCGGCCTCCGGTCAGCCTCGTCCCGTCTCCGTCTGAGCGTCTGCACCCCCAGCCCTCGGTGGGCCGCCGGATTCCCGGCCTCTGCCCCGCCCGTCCGACCCCAGGCCGCCCCGACAGGGAGAAGGTTCCCTTTAGCGGGCACCTGCGTGGCGTCAGGCCCCGGCGTGCCAGCCCCGGGCCGAGGCACGGCGCCCCCCACCCCCCAGGCGGAGCCCCTGCCCGGTCCCATCCTCGGGTGCCGGGCGCGGCATCCCATCCCGGTAACGCACAGAAGCACTGAGGCCGGGGCGCGTGCTCTTTATTCTCCAGCTCTGCACCCCTGGGAGCGGGCCGGCGGGTCGGGGCCTGGCGGGCTCCCTGCCGCGGGCCCCAGCCCTGCCCTCTGGGCGCCGGGGGTGGGGGGGGCGGGCGGTTCCGGGGGCGCAGTCGGGCGGGGCGGTGGTCACCGGGCGGGCCTGCAGCGCTTCCGCAGGCGGTAGGCGAGGAGCGCCAGGAGGAGCAGCCCCAGCACCAAGCTGCCCGTCCACAGGGCTGGGGGCGCTGGCGGGGAGCCTGGGGAAGGAAGCAGGGGCCCTGAGCACCTCTTTGCAGGGACGGGGGCGGGGAGAGCTCAGCAGCCTCTGCTGGGGGCTCCCGCATTTGCTGAGCTCCTGAGGTTTTAGGAAGGACCTTTGAGGGGTGCAAACCCGCGGGGATGGCAAAGGACTTGGGGGCGAAAGGCGCAGAGGACCTCGCGTTTTGGAGACGGAGCTGGGGGGGGGGAGGAAGAACGTAAATGTAAACTGTCTCCTTCTTATTAACAAACGTGGCTACTAGAACACTTGAAGCCGCCGGAGGGGCTGTGTCCTACTTGTACTCCCGGGGCCTTTGTAGGCTGTAAAGCTGTCGGGGTGCTGGGAAATCCAGAGGCCCCGAGATGCACAGCCCTCGCGGTGCCCCCGGACGGGACGGGGGACCGAGGCTGGGCAGGCCCCTTCCTTGAGGCTCCCACCCACCCCACCCCCCCGGAACTCACAGACTTCCGCGACCAGGTACAGGCTGGCCATCTGTCCCCCTGGGTCCAGGCGACACTGGAACCAGCCTTCAGGGCCGCACCCTGCCCGGGGCACGCTCAGCCAAGCCTGGGCCCCGGCCTCCCACCTCTGGTAGGCCTCCAGCCCCCCGGGCGCCTGCGTCCAGCCCACAGCCACCCCGGGGCCGCAGGCCGCCTCACACAGCAGCTCCAGACCCCCTGCTGCGGGTGACTGGTGGATCTTGGGGCGGCAGGGCCTGGCGGAGCTGTTCCCGGCCGGGGGTGCAGGACTCTCGGAGCTGCGGGTGGAGCTCAGCTCTAGGGTGGCCTCGGGGGAGGTCGTGCTGGGGGGCTCCCGGGAGGTCAGGCTGCGCAGGACTGGAAAACAGAGCGCATCCCACCGTGAAAGATCTTTCAAACCCGGTGGCCCCTCTGCGTGCCCTCCCGCCGCCCCTCTTGGCCCCCCACCCCCTCCCAGCACCCTGGGAGCTCCCTCGCTCCATCTGCACCCCCGCCAGCCCCCGGTGCGTTAACGGGGACTTCAGGGCACCTGGGGAGAGGTTGCCCGAGGCTCCATGACGTGGACGAGGCCCGTCCCACGTTAGACACGTTTGCTAAGTTAGTAGCGTCAGACGGGAACTGGGCACCTACAGTGTTCTCGGCCCCACGTGAAGGGTTTTCATCCGTCTATTCAGCAAGTATTTATTGTGCGCCTACTATGTGCTGGGCACCGTGGTTCCCCCTGCCCGCCCACCCACCCAGAACAAACACCTACTACGTGCTGGGCACTGTTTTAGCCGCTGGGGGGACACAGCCGTGAACAAGACATACTCCTTTCTCAGTGAAGCCAGCAGTAGGGGATGCAGACGATGGAAATAAAGGGAGCAGGAGGGGCCCCTGGGGGCTCAGCGGTGGAGCGTCTGCCTCTGGCCCAGGGTGTGACCCCGGAGTCCCGGGATCGAGTCCCGCATTGGCCTCCCTACAGGGAGCCCGCTTCTCCCTCTGCCTGTGTCTCTGCCTCTCCATGTGTTTCTCACGGATAAATAAATAAAATCTTTGAAAAAAAAATGGGAAATGCAGGATGCCAGATATTGAAAAAAGGTGTTAAAAAACATACAGTAGGAGAAAGTGCTCATGTGCGCGTGTGCACGTGTGTGTACACACACACATGGAAGCGGCAGGAAGGATAGTTTGGCCCTTTAGATAGGTCAGGAGAAGCCTCACTGGGAGGGCGACCTGAGGAAGGTGAGTGAGGGAGCAAAGCAGAGAGCTGGGACGTGCATTCCCGGTGGAGGGTGGAGCATGGGTAAAGGTCCTGGGGCAGGACTGTGCCTGGCCTGTTGGAGCAGCAGCTGGGAGGCCATGTGTCTAGAGAAGAGTGATGGGTGGAGAGGAAGGAGGTGAGGACAGGTGGTTCAGGGCTCTGTGGACATAGGAGGAGGGAGGTGGGAGCCCTGGAGGCCTGTGGGCAAAGAAGGACGGGGTCGTAGGGAGCCTGTCCCAGGGTCGCGCTCAGTAAACCTGTGAGGAGTATCACCCTGGAGGTGGGAGGACTGTGGTCCGTCCACGGAGGGGCTGGGGCGAGGGGTGGAGCCAGCAGTCCAGGGGGCCCCTGGGCACCGCCGATCAAGGCTCGGAGGAGCCGAGGGACACTGACTGCAGGCTGCCCGGAACCGCAAAGACTCACCTGGAATAGCCCGCTGGTGACTCAGCTGCACGCCGGGCAGCGTCATGGTTGCCCGGCAGTGGAGGGCGGGTGGGGTGGGGGTGTCCAGGGAGGGCACCAGCCAGCGCCCCGTCACCCGGAACAGCAGGTCCTCCCCCTGCTGTGGCTCCTCCTCCACCTCCCGGCTCAGGGCCTCCCCCAGCTCCCGGTCCCCCAGGAGCAGGGACAAGGAGAGGGCCTCGGGGCTGGCAGGTGTGACGTTGTGGGCCGTGCAGGCCACCTCCCGGTCCTGCATTGCCACCAGGGCCACTGGGGACACAGTCAGCTGGTCTGGGAATGCTGTGGACAGAGGGTTGGAGGCGGGTGGGCTGAGCCCCCAGGGTCAGCAGTGGGCCCTGAGGAGGGGGCTTGTGGGTGGGGCCCAGGCGAGAGCAGGGACCTGGGGTCGGGGGAGGACCCAGCGGCCACAGCTTGTGTGTCTAGGAGGTCAAGGGCCCGAGGGGGCTGGAGCAGAAAGGGGGGGCTCAGGTGGCTGGAGGGGCTGAGGGCAGCAGGGAATGGATGGGGCTCTGGGGCCAGGGCGCAGGGTGGGCAATCTGGGAAGACTCCCAGGAAGAGGCGGTATTGGGACCGAGGTAGGCAGGGCTGCCGGCAGCGAGCAGGGGGGGAGCGCACCGAACACCAGCAGCTGCACAGTCCGCTGGAGGGTGAGGTTCCCGCAGGAGCCCACGCACACGTGGGTGCCGGCCGCCGACAGCGACGCATTGTGCACGGAGAGGACGCTGCTGCCTCCGTCCGACCGCACGGAGCCCAGGCTGGTGTCCAGGCCCCGCCACTGCACCGACGGGGCCCTGCGGTCGGCGCACGACAGCCGGCAGGTGAGCTGCCGCGAGCCGCCCAAGGACACGGCCACCACGGAGTCTGGGGGCTCCACCTCCAGCGGCCCACCTGTCGGCAGACGCGCGCTCAGCCCCGCCCTCCCACCAGCCTCGGACCCCCCTCAGACCCCCGCTGCAGACCCCCCGCTGCAGACCCCTGCTACCCCGACTTGGGATCCCCGACCTTGGACCCTCAACCTTGATGCCCAGCCTCAGACCCCTACCCTGGACCCCCAGACCCAGACGCCCCCCACTCCCCTACCCTGGACCCCCAGCCTCGGCACCCCAACTGCAGACCTGCACCTCGGACCTGCCCGAGTGCCTCCCCGCCGTCGCCTGCATCCCCCAAGGCCCCCCGGGGACTCCTCCACCCTGAGCCTCGCCCTGCCCAGCGGAGCCCCCGGCCCCGCTCACCCCGGCCTCGCTGGAGGAGCCCCAGGAAGACAGGCAGCAGGAGGGCGAGGCCCCGCTCCATCCTCGGCCCTCTGTCCTCCGACCGCCCGACGACACGCCTTAAATAGTGGTGCCCCCCCCCACTGCTCCCCGGGGCTTTCCCCAGGGGCTTTCCCACCCTCACCCCGACCCCCCCCCCCCCCCGCGACTGAGAGGCAGGGGCTGGGGGCCCGAGCTGGCGGGGACCCTGCGTGGAGGTCAGGACAGACGGGGCGGGAAGGAATGCGCAGACGCACAGACAGGAAGACTGGAAGATGGGGGGGTGAGGGGGACGGGGCGGGGGGGCCAGGTCCACGCCTCGGGGAAATCAGCAGCAGGCCCGGGGCTGGCGCCACCTGCACCTCCCGCCTCCCGACGGCCTCCGCCTGGCGGCCCTGAGCGGCTGGGGGGCAGGTTCTCCTGGGCTGGGCCTCCCCCACCCGTGAGGGTCCCTGGGGGTGTCACCTGCCGGTGAGGGTCCCTGGGAGTGGGAACCTCGGGGTGAGGGCCTTGTGGGGATGGTGGGGGTCTTTCTGTTAGAGGTGAGGGTCTCCTGGGTGACGGAGATGAGACGCTTCACCCCCTTGTCTGAGCCTGTCTGTCCTCTGGGGTGCAGGTTGGGGAGCGGGAACGGGGAGGGGGCCGTTGCCCTCAGGGGAGGCCTGGGAGGGATCTGGCCACGCGGCCACCCAGAGTGCTGAGGAGCCCCCACCTCCTCCCCCTCCCCACCCCTCAGCCCGGCTCCCCCTCCTCCAGGGTTTTAGAGACGGTTCCGAGCTGCTGGGTCGGTCGGGCCCTGGCACGGCCGTGCCCTCACCCTGTTCTGCCCGGAGCCACCGCCGCCTCCAGGGAGTCCTCCCCAGCCGCCTCCCCCCACCTCCCTTTCTCTCACCGCATTTTCCCAGTGGCCCTTAATGAAGTCGGAGCTAGAAGCACATTTCCCGTTTGCAGGAGGCGGATCCTGTCTGCGGCGGCCTCTGGGGGAACCAGGCCCCATGCGCAGCTCGGACGGACGGGACGCAGGGGGAAAGGAATGGGGGGGTCCTGGATTGCTTCATGTTGAACTCAGGATGGGGCCTGTGCCTCAGTTTCCCTGGCATGGGGATGAGGAAGGGGCGGCCGGGCCACGAGTCGTCGAGGCCCCACCAGCTCTGTGCCTGGATCGCCTCAGCGTCCAGATCGCCAGGGGTGGAAACTGAGGCGCCCGAGAGGCGCGACCGGGGCAGAGAGAGAAACTGAGGTCTCGGCGAGGCGAGGGTCCCGGTGCCTGAACTCCGAGTCCGTTTCCCGCGCTCCCATCCCCCCTCGAGCCTGTGCCGGGAAAGGCGGCACAGGAAGGTGGACTCCAAGGTGCGGCCCTCCCCGGGCCGGAGGTGGGGGCCTTTCTCGGGAAGCTGGGCTCTTAACCCGGGCAGGGGGCAGTGGGCCTGGTGAATGGGCCTCTTCCCAGCCCCTGACCCCGCTTCCTGCCTCCCGCCCCCCCGAGGCCCCTCGGAGGGCGGGCCGCAGCCCTGCCTGCCCCATCCATCAGCGCCGTCCATCCGGCGTCTGCAGCCCTCCAGGAGCTCGGTGCTCGGTGCTTGGCGCTGAGTGCTTGGTGCTCAGTGCTCGGTGCTTGGTGCTCGGTGCTCGCAGCAAGCTCCAAACACTCTACCTGTGCGGACGCAGACCTCCGGGCTCAGAGAGGGTCGTGGTGGGCAGAGGGAAGGACGACCTGCACCTACGCTGGGGGGGGGGAGTGGGCAGAGGGAGGGGCAGGGGCCTGGAGGGAGGGTCCCGGGGGTCAGGGGACAGGGGCCCAAGCCCAGCACTAGTGAGGACTGAACCGCATTTCCTGCCTGTGTCTGGGACATTTGGTCTCGTCCTGGGGACATTGAGCTCACCCAGTCGCCCCCGGGTGGGGACGGAGGTCATGCCTCTACATCCCCGGCCCCCCCACCTGAGCTTCCTGCGGTGCCTGCCCGCCTGCAGGTCCCCTCCCCCTTCCTGGCATTGTCCCCATCCAGGAGGAAGTCCTCGGTGGCCTTGGCGGGAAGCCTCCTTCCCAGGAGGGTCCCAGTCCCCCCAAGACCTGTCATCCTGGCCTCAATGTTCCCACATCAGCCGCAGCGCTCCGAGGGGGCATGGCCCGCCCCGAGGGTGTCCAGGAGAGGCCAGCTGGCCCCAGCCCCCCGGAGATGCCCGCGCCCTCCAGGGACACCCTCTCACCTGGGCTGGGCCAGCTCCGCTCGTTGGCACCCCTGGGCAGCTCGGGGCTCGCAGCTCGCTCTTTGGGGTGGGCGGGAGCCGGGGTGGCAGGGTCTCTGGTGTGGAGGACCCCGTGCCGACGACGTGCCCCCCTCCTGCCCCCCCAGGGCTACTCCCTGCTCCTGGTGGCCCCGGGGAAGGGAGAGGGAGGAAGGACACGGAAGCCCACACAGAAGGCTCTAGAAGGCTGGAGAAATTGCCCTGGAGTCGCGTGGCTGAGCTAGACCAAGGGGGCACGTGGGAGGGGTGGCGCCCGGGCACCAGGGGTGGGAACCAGACCCTGGAGGAAAGAAGTAGCTCTGAACGCCCGTGAAGGCGACTTCCGTGTCTGTGGAGCTGAGCCGCACGCCGCGGTGGCCGGGAGCTGGCCCTGGCCGTCAGGGCCTGTCGCCGCCCCTCGAGGCCTGTCCCAGGGCCTGAGGTTTCAGTTGTCATGAGAAGCAAGGGGACGCAGGCTTTCTGCCTTCCGACGGACTGGATGGAGGCCCCTGGGGTGGGGTGGGGTGGGGTCGGGGTGGCCCTCAGAGGCCCTGCCGTAGCCGAGCGTCCCTGGGGACTGGGGCTCGTCCCCTACCGGGGGGGAGGGCTCGCTGGGGTAGCGCCTCCCTTAGGAGCTGGACAGCCAGGGGGGGCTCGGCTGCCCCGAGGAGCAGGGAGGCACATCTTGGTGAGAGCTGATTTTGGGGTGCTAGTCCACCACCCCGCGGCCGGGGCAGGGCTCCCCGAGGTGTAGCCGCTGACCTGCGGCCCTGTTGCTAACTCCGGCCGCGCTGCCCTCCGGCGGGGCTCCTGGCTGATGGGCCCCGGGCTGCGGGGCCGGCGACTGGGCAGCGGGCGGGGTCAAAAGGGTGACGGGGAGCCGGAGAATGGGGCAGTGCCACCGGGGAAGGGTGGCCCGGGAGGGTGGTCCAGCTGTCCCTGGAGGCAGCGGGAGGACAGGTGGGACAGGGTGGCCGAGGTGGGACCTCGGCCGAAGGGTTCGCCGCTGACCGCAGGGCCCCGGGCACTTTGGCTCTGCTCCAGGCGCACCAGATAGAGGACAGGGCTGTGAGGCGGGGCCCTTGCCGAGGCCGCCGCTGATCACCTCCACCCCACACCTGGTGCTGGGACGGCAGGCGGGTCCCCGGCCCTCCCAGACACCCCAGGTACATCCACGCACCTGTGTGCCCACCTGGCGGACCCCGGGCCCTCGCCTGCCCGCCGCCGCAGGTCTGCCGCCCCGTCCCACGTCCACCTGGCGCCCACCCAGCCGGGCCGCTGCCCCAACCGAGCGGCCTCCCTCCGTGGCGCCCTGTGGTGTCTGGGCAGGCGGCCGCCGCCCCGCCTGCGCCAACACAGGCCGGTGCTGACGAATCTCTGGGTTTTCTGGGTTTTCCGATGCACACGTGTGGTGATAAATTCAAAAAGCGGGATTTGCCCGTGGGTCCCCGGCTCCAGGGCTGGGCCCGTCAGGCGGTTTCCCAGCACGCGTCACCCTAACCCAGGAGAGCCGGGCTGGAGGCGGGGCGACGCTGGGTCACCCGCGAACCGCAGCGCGGGCAGGGCCACCAGCCACTTGTGCCCCTGAGCGCCTGAAACGTAATTTTTAACTGAAACTTCAACTTAAAAGCAGACACCTGACTCATTTGCTGGGAAACTGTCAAGCATGTCTGGGACAATTCAGGTTGGTGAATCTGCTTTTATTTTAAGATTTTTATTTATTTTCAACGATTTTATATATTTACTTAGAGAGAGGTCGAGAGAGCACAGCCGGAGAGGGAGAAACAGGCTCCCCGCTGAGCAGGAGCCCGACGTGGGGCTCATCCCGGGACCCCGGGGTCACGCCCTGAGCCGAAGGCAGATGCCCAACCACTGAGCCATCCAGGCATCCCTCCTGTTTTATTAAATCTTTTTTTTTTAATTTTTTTTTATTTATTTATGATAGTCACAGAGAGAGAGAGAGAGAGAGAGAGAGAGGCAGAGACACAGGCAGAGGGAGAAGCAGGATCCATGCACCGGGAGCCCGATGTGGGATTCGATCCCGGGTCTCCAGGATCGCGCCCTGGGCCAAAGGCAGGCGCCAAACCGCTGCGACACCCAGGGATCCCCCTCTTTTTAAATTTTCAAGTAATCTCTCCACCCAGCGTGGGGCTGGAACTCACAAACCCCGAGATCAAGAGTCGCAGGCTCCACCACTGACCCAGCCAGGGGTCCCCTATTTCTGCCACTTTTTCTCGACCTGGTTGCTGGAGAACGTAAGCGACCCGTGTGCCCTGTGAGCAGGGGCTGCGGCTTGTCCTGAGCACAGGACGGGAATGTCCTTTGGGAGGGGGAGCGCCTCCTTCTCCACCCAACCCCAGGCCGAGACGTGGGAAGTGGGAACCTCTGGCTTCCAGGCGCTTAGGACCGTGGTTCTCACCCCGGGGATCCTGCCCTTAGGGGACACACGTGGCCGTGAGAGCTGGGGTGCTCCGGGCATGGAGTGGGGAGGCTCCCCCACGGCCCAGGGGGCAGTGGAGCCCCAAGGCCGGCGGAGGCCAGCGGCTGGGCTGGGGGTCTGGGAGGCCGGGCTGTGGAGCGGAGTGGGGGGCTCGGGGCCCATCAGTGCGCAGGCCAGAGCCCGGGGGGATGCTCTGACCCAGGAGCTCCCTTCTGCACCTGCCGTCAGAGAGCGGTCACCGGCCCGGGCAGGACAGTCTAGTAGCCGGGTCCGGGCGTTGCCGGGAGCCCCAGGCTGGAGCAGTTATGAGGAGCTGGGGGTGGGGCTGCAGGGGTTGCGGGGTGGTGCCTGGGTGTCTGCCAAGCGGTCTGGGTGGG